CTACTGGCCTGCCACGTTTTATTGAATTTAGGTCCTACATATATTCGGTTCATTTCATACAATTTGGAGCATAAACTTTTTTTTTTTTTCTAAAAAAAATTGGTCAAATAGGTACCTAACTTGTAATAAAAATAAAATTTACTTACCTAGTTGAATGTGTAATTCTAGGTGAAGCTTATCTTGTGATCCTAGACAACAAAAGACCATAAGAAAGTGAATCAATCTAGATTGTCCATAGCTGATCGACTCAAACCGAGAAGACTATATACATTTCTCATAAAGAGTTGAACTTGAAATTTTATAGTTACCAATTCAAGCTGCCAACCAACTCGGTTGAAAGTTGCTCCCCAATTATCAAGTAATCTACTTATATTTTAGAATTTAGAGTTAATACCCAATATAGTCTTCGACTATAGTGGTTTACTCAATTTGGTCCTAAATGACATTTTGTAGTCAATTTAGTTCTCGATTTTGATGGTTTTACACAATTTAGTCATTTGTTAAAAATTATGTTAGTTGATTGTTAGGAATAGGGTCCTAATGGTAATTTATCATCCTTCATCCCATCCTCTTATTAAGATCCACGGAGAAATGCAAATCTTGGTATCCAAATCAACTTCAAACCTAAATTAAAAATAAAAATAAAAATTGTTGGCAAATATTTATTTATTTAGGGTTAAAGTTGATTTGGGTAAGAAGATTTGCATTTTTACGTGGAATTTAATAAGGGGAAGAAGAAGGAATCATCCCAAAATGGGATGAAGGATGAGAAATTACCATTAACACCTTATTTCTAACCGTCAACTAACAAAAAATTTAATAAAGGACTAAATTGTGTTAAACCATCAAAATCAATGATTAAATTGAACACAAAAAATCATTTAAGACTAAATTGAATAAAATCACTATAGTCGAGGATTATATTGAGTATTAGCTCTTATATTTTATATGACGGACTTGACCGTTGACATGATGCCACCAAAACCTTCATCAACATAATTCTTCGATGCAAATTTCAATTAAAAAATAATTCAACAAAGCTTCCATAATCTAGATCAATGAAGGGTGGCGGGGGTGTGGGGGGAGGGGGTCTCTCACCAATTGAATGATGTGTAGGTAAGTCAATTACTTTCCATAATCTCTTTTTATCGAGTAACAATGAAGATTCAAACATATGACCCTTACATAGAGTTTATTCTAAGGCTAAATTAAAATATATTATATTTCAACTAAAAAATTAAATTATCATTAGACTGCATATTTTATATTTATATAATATACATGTTGAACATCATCTAAATTAGTGAAGGGGGAATCTCAGTAGAGACGTGGGGTTGACTCTTTGTGCTTCAACAAGTTGAGAAAATATAAAAATGAACATATACTACAATGTAATAGAATCAGTAACTTTCAAAAAAAAAAAAAATTATGAAAGGGGAAAGCAGTACAGTTGCGCGACTACATCCCACTAAGCTATTTCTTAAAATATTTTTAATTAAAATTTTACATTTCTCATGCTATATTTATCAAAATATGACCTCAATGCTACATCATCGTTTACATGACAAAAAACTTAAGGGTGTGTTTGGAAACTTGAAAAATGAGTTCTGGAAATCATTTTCCAAGTTTTCATTGTTTGGATGTGCTTGGAAAATCAAGTCAACGGAAATCATTTTCTGTTAACTTTGGAAAATAAGCTTGTTTTGGAGGAAAATGACTTCCCATTTTTTTGGGGAAGTCATTTTCCAACTTTTACACCAACATCACACCACCACCAACATCATCAACACCATACCACCATCACCTCACTACCACCATCATCACCACTACTGCATCACACCACCACCGTCGCTGCCGCCACCACCACCACTACCACCATCGTCGCCGTCGTCGCCACCACCACCACCGCCGCCGCCACCACCGCCGCCACCACACCACCACCATCACATCACCACCACTACCACCACCATACCACCGCAACCACCGTCGCTGCCACCACCACCATCACACCACCGCCACTACCACCGCCGCCGCCGCCACCACCACCACCATCACAACACCGCCACTACCACCGCCGCCGCCACTACCACCACCATACCACCGCAACCACCGTCGCCGCCACCACCACCATACCACTGCAACCACCGCCACCACCACCACACCACCACCATCACACCACCACCGCCGCCGCCACCATACCACCGCAACCACCGCCACCACCACCACACCACCGTCGTCGCCACCACCACCATACCACCGCCACCACCACTACCACTCTACCGCCGCCGCCGCCGCCACCACCACCATACCACCGCAACCACCGCCACCACCACCAGACCACCACCATCACACCACCGACGCCGCCACCACCACGACCATACCACTGCAACCATCGCCGTCACCACCACCACCATACCACCGCAACCACCGTCGTCGCCGCCGCCACCACCACCACCACCACCGTACCACTGCAACTACCGCCACCACACCATCACCACCA